AAATAACTATTTTCAAGGCTGCCCGCAGAAATTGTTCTCTTAACATTTTAAAAAAATAACAACAGTATTATCATAATAGTATAAAACCACATAATAGATTAAATTTAATCTATTCTGTGATAAAACAGTCATCACCATGGCTTTAGATAGAATCTTAAACCGTGGTCATCACTATGACTTTATTAATTAAAACCACAATAATTGTATATGGACCATTGAGTTGATATGATATGAATCTACAACCATGATAAAAACAAATAAACCAAATACCGAATACCTAGTGATATTGAAACTGACGAACAATTTTGTGTCAACTTATCAGTTATCAGTCTTCCTTATCGCTTTCCAAGACTGCTAAATAAAATGTAAATAAATGCAATAAAAATTAGGTATTATCTAAATTAGCGGGGGGGGGGGGGGCGTTACCTGAATTTATATGCATTTGCATGTTTGTACTAAGTGTATGCATGTCTATGGAGATTTAAAATGTCCACGACTTATATCACACCGAATTTAAATATCAAATTTTATATTGCATATTTTGTATATTTCTAGGGTTATTACATATTTGTTCATACATTCATATAACATGCATATATAATGGTTTTTAAGCAATTAAACATTTTTGTATTTTTTTTTAAGTTTTCTGTTCGTTTTTTTGAAAGTAAGTAACTTCAAATGATTTAAAATATTTATAAAATATAAAATATTTATTTTAGATTTTTTTTTATTAGTATTCTCGTTTTTAAGTTTCCTTAAAATTTTCGACTGATTTAAATGATTTGAAATATAAGGCAGTGGATATTATCATATTTTTGTTTTTGATAAAATATTTAGAATTTTATTTGGTATAAAAGTGTGATTTATTAAAAAAAAAAAAACACATTTTGTAAAGTGTAATGCATATAATCATATTTAGCCACTTTTTCTTTTTATATTTGCATTCATATTTGACACTATTTAAATGCGTATAAATCCGGACTCTAATTATAATAGTTTTGCTTTTGCATTTTTTTTTTAATTATTTTTAAATTCACCAGTTCACAAGAATGTTGTTCGATATCATAGACAGTTTTAAAATCTATGAAAAAAATACAAAATTGTTAAGCCATTAAACTTTTCTTCACAGTCCAAGTTAATTCGCAGAACGAAAGGTCGTACAAGTAATATTTTAAACGCGAATTGTTCCATTAGCAATGATGACGATATAATGTTTCCAAAGGGAGCACAGAAGATCACGGTACCGAATTATATAAAAAATAAGACGCTCCATTGTGTGTAAGGAAAAAAAATAACAGTTAAAATAATAAATAAATAAATAAACGATGTCCCAGTGTTACACAACAATAGCAAAAAAGTGGAAAAATCGACGTCCAACAGATGCTCGAGATGTTGTCAAATCAATGACAGCTATTTTATGTATTACTGAGTTAACAAAATAATAAACTAACGATCTATATCTGTGAGGATGAGTTCGTGATGATCAGGAGAGTAAGCGAAAAAAAATACACCCTTAAGTCTCAGAACTATAATAATCCCGTTGATGTTTTAAGGTGACTCGTTGCGATACGTCCCTTTTGGTGGCCCTTTATCCCGACATGACCGGAAAACCAACATTTTCCGTGGGATCAATAGCCCTCTTCCGTCTCTTCCCCTCACGGGGGTCCAACTGCGTTCTCACTAGGTTAATGTTTATCCGATTACCCCGTCCGAGTTTTGTTGTTTCCCATCGGAATCCTGAGTGAATTATCTTCCGGGGTTTGTTTTGTGTGCCTTCCACGGTCACCACCTTCATCGGAATCCCGGGATTTTTTGTAGAAGACTCCACGTAAGATCGAGTATCAACCCATTCATGACAACGTTTCATTGTATGCCTGTCGCGAATGTACCATTCCATATTGCACTGACCGGGCACAGAAATTTTGTATAATATACCATATACAGAAATCACATGGCACTTATGTTTACGTTTTAAGCGTTTTCCGTTTAACAAGAACCGCGCCTTACCGAACCACGCCACGCTAGAGTGGTTTTGACGCACGGTGAAAACACTAAACTGTTGCCCCAAGAAGTGAATCGTCTCATCGTATAATGATGCAATCAAAGTGGTTGTCCCGTGGCTATTAGATGAGGATTTATATGAAGGAATACACATAAATAAGGCAACGAAGATCGTTTTTAAGATATATAAAAATTGAGAGAGAAAGAAAAAAAGGAGAGAAAGAGAGGGATTTGGATCGATACTTTATCTCGAGGGAGAATGTTACAAACAGCGATTTATAGCGTTATGATTTTATGTCATAATTTGAATTATTAAATAATTTACTTTAGAATCACTTCTAAACGAAGTACATTAACTTTGGAATCGAATTCGGAATAATGTTCGAAATTTGCATTTAAAATTAAATATTCCTAGGATATTTGAAGTTCACAAACAGAGCAATAGCATAATGTGTAATACGTTTACTTTAAATTCGTTCATGGGTTAGGCGAAATTGCAATTTCCGAAAAAAAATTTATTTGAAATACTTTTTTTTTAAATCACCTGAAATAATGAGAGCATGCGATGTGCTTATGTTTATAAAAAATCAATGTTTTATAATGCTTATAATGATATTATTACTGGCATCACATCAAACGTGTCCAATAGCTTAGAAATTACTGAATGTGCGTAATTTCAACCCGAGTCAAATGGACGTGGTTAATTCGATGCGTGCAATTTTGGCGAATCGATATTTCGACGAATGCCAAATCGACGCGTTTTGTAATACAATTATATCATCATTTGATAAGAAAATACTTCGACGAAAGTTATGTATAATAGATGCAAGACATTTATGACGCATTTTATTTTATAAATCTACTATTGTTTTAATTTGTATAACTATAAATGACCAATTTTATTTACGTTATCTTTAATGCTATCCGTATCGTTAAATTTTCATCATGCATTTTAATAAACACAACATATATGACAACACCAGTACACCAACATAAGATGTAAATATAACTAATAGAGTGTTCGCTGAGACTTGAATATTACTACTCTTAGCCACTGTTATAATTTTTTTTATAAAAAAAAGGAATTAAATATTACATAATTAACATGAGAATAACCCAATTATGGTTTAGAGCAGTTCTAGCAACATGATTAACTTTAATCAAGGTCCAGCTATTTATTTTATGCGAATTGAATTCATGTCAATTTATTAACTTTCGACCACCGGATGTTTTGTAATGTAAAAATGTATCTTCCAAATTAAATCACTACGGAAAAATTAGAGATAGCGTTGATACCATAATTAAGACCACAGTTTTGACGATTGGAAAATAAAATAACAATAGCAAATTTCAGTGCATATACAAGACCGAAGTATATAAGTTTAATATCATATTACATTTACAAATAACATAAACGATGATAACAGCTAAATAAATGCGAATGTGCAAAACTCCCGTAAATAGACTTTTTTAACTCAAGTTAAGTTAATATGTATCAATAAGAAAAATTTATAAATTAAAAGTTAAGTTTTGGTTAACTGAGTTAAGTTAAAAGTGAATACACATTTTTTTTTTTTAACTTTTTATACAACGTTAACGTTATTTTTTAACCACGTAAAACTAAATGATTTACTATAGTCCTTTAAACAGTATATATTTCATTGGAGTTTTTCGTTTCTAAGAAAAACACATGACTAAATATCTTGAGATTGAAAGACATTAAGGAATAAGATATAATTGAAAAAAATTAAACATCTACTTAGATTTTAGTGTAGGTATATATTTTTTTTCGAAATTACGATGTCACATATCGTTGATCGTCGACAACAATAATATACCATATAGCTACTCTTATAAGTCTATTATTATTGTTACTCGATATTTGTTATAGGTAAATAAATAAAATTAACAACATAAAACCTATTTATCATAAAATATTTTCTGATACATAGGGTGTTACTTTAGATTACAGAGTGATTGGAAAAATTTAATATTTTTAACTTTAATCAATTCAGGATAAATATATTTTGGCATGAAATCAAAATAGAATAAAATAGTGAAATGAAAAACAAAATAAATTAACTCAATTTATTTCTTAAAATGAAAAAGTAATTATTTAATTAAAAATACATTTAGTAAGTTTATAGTGAATTAGATGAAAATCGAAAATTTAACTTAATACGAAATTAACTTTTTAACTTAACTATAACTTTTTAATTCGTTAACGCCCAACTTGGCTATATACTATTTATATAAAACATTCGATTCACTTTTGTAAACCAATAAATTATTGTTCGCAAAACTATTTGTATTCTGAATATGAAATATATCATTGGTGAATATTAATATACTTTGTTTTATTAAAACCTTCAAATCGTTTGCAAATTAAAACTTAATTGGAATTCGATGAATTTCGATTTGATATGTTATTATATTTGACTGTATACATTTAATTATAAATCATAAAAATAAATTCAAAATACCATGAATGGGTATTCAAATAATAACCCGACTGACGTATCTTTTAATATATTGTATATTTAACTATTACGTATTTTTCCATGCCTACATATATCCACATAAACAAATATAATTGTAACATACATGGTGGTTTAGTTGATGCTCACGTTTAATTTGTGATTGAACTCGTAGTATTGTTGAAAACTAAATTTATATTTTAATATTGATTGACGGGTGACGGAGCTTAATAGAAAATAATCAAAATCATAATCATTCAGGATCAAAAAGACATTTTATACATGTGATTAAATTCAGTTCTTGGAATAATGTTTTAATAACTTAAATCAAATTGTAAATAGTTGGTTTAAAATTAATCTATATTGATTTCGAAAGAAACACTCTCATTTTCTTCGGTATTAATAGAGTACCTCAGTAACTGCCATAATTTTACAACTTTATGTATACAGCTTGCCATATTATGAATACTGCTCATAATATAATGAACACATACCATTAATAGAGTTTAAAATGTAACTTACCTTCATTTTTGGGAGTTTTTTATCATTTCTATACCAAGTGATTGACGCCGGTGGTCTTGATCCAGCCGAATGGCAAAGTACATCATATCTCCGATCAGCTACCAGGATTTCATCCACGACAGAAAATGTTACTGTAAGCGGTGCCACTGCAATTTAAAAATATTATACAGCAATTTTAATTGTTTTATTTAATTAGTAGTTTAACGAACGGTTACAATTACAAAGATAACCTTGAAAGAAATCAATATACAAGGCATTTAAAAATATAAATTAAATTGTAATAAAAAATAAAATTAACAATTTAAAAAAAAAAAAAATGAAATTGTATGAAATATATAGTAATATACAGAAATTCAAACACATTTTAAACGAACCTATTAAATAGTTAAACATAAATTGCGTAATAAGTGTATATAAGATGTATTTTGTGAAAAATTTTCAAATATTAAGTATAATACACAGTCAATAGGGTTATTAAACTATTTTTGTATGTGTTTTGATTGAAAAACTGCTATGCTTGATATCACATCATAAATTATATTTTAATATGTTTAACCTTTTGAACATCAACCGTGATCTTGTTTTGTTCCCGTGGAATAACAAGTTTATTTGAATCTATAAAAAAATTAGGAAAATAAAATACCTACTCTTGCTCACATTATTTTACCGAGTTCCTAGCGTGCATTCAAATTATTTATCAAAAAATTGATTTAATTTAATTTAATGAAATTTATTTATATTTTGTTTGTGCAAAATAATATTGTCCAATTCAAATCGGCGATAAATATGAAATATGAAATGAATAAATAAAAAATATTGATTGATAATTCGACAAAAAAAATATTATTATGACTGGATACGTAAATATATATACATGTATATGAAATATATTTATATGGTGTTTGATAAAAAGAATAATTTTTCCCGTAGGATCTGTCTACACGTCTGTATGCTATTTGGTAAACGTATATATAAATATAAATAAATATTAGCACGCTTGGGGATTAAAATTTTTCTATTTTGAAAATTCAGGAACCAAAGTGAAAAATATTACTTTGAATGTTTTAATGGAAATCATTTTTCCCATGAGATATGGAGATATCAGTTTTCCATAAATAATAAATCTGGTTATGAAAGCCGTACGTTCGTATAGGTAGTATTAAATAATATAGAAACTTAAGTATTTAAACTAATTGCCGAATTAAGAATTTCCACCTAAACCATTTTTTTCACAATTTCACAAATACGGAAAATAAAATTTTCAAATACACACGTACGCATGTGTATATTATATACGTATTATGTATTTGTCTGAGTGTATGTGCGTATGGGCATGTGTATTGTATGTGTAGGAGTTTTGTTTCCGAATTTATTAGTAATTTGCGACCAAAATGTGAACTATATTTCAAATAATAATCTTGATTATCTTATTTGTTTTTTTTTTGTTCAAACAATACACAATTTAATTCGACACGCTCAACTTTAATTTTATAATTTTTAAAAACAGGATTATATAGTAGTTTAAAAATGTATTCACAATCACAATCATTGTTTATATTTGTATATTTGGTTTCTAAATATTACAATTGGTTTTTCATTCAAAGGTCCCTCTTTTAAACGTTTGATTGAAGTGTTAAGGATTACATAAAAAGGAACAATATAACAAGACAATATTAACTCCATTATTATATTAATATAACTATATTTTTACTGGTATAATAAATATATCAATATATTTATACGAATATCTTATATTTTTATGTCGTTTTACTAAACATGTCGGTTTTCAGCCCTTAAGATGAAACAGTAGAAATAATAAGAAAATAAAAATAAACATGTTATTATTATATTTTTACATACAGGACCCAATAAATTTCAACTAAGTTATAATATATTATTTTTAGTGTACTATATATCTCAGTTAGAAATTTGTATGAAACCCAGTGGGCAGTATTTACTTATAGTGAATAACGTTCCGTAAATAGAATAAAAGTGTTTGTTTGTTACATTTTATAAGCGAAATGATGTTCAACTGTATTTTGTGGGAAGATTTATTTAATGAATAAATTTATAGCGTAGTTTTATTTTAAATTTTTTACTTTTTAATACTGAAAAAATCAATTAAGGTAAATGAGCATTTGAGTTATTCCCACATTACAGAATTTGCACTTTATAGAACATATTTAAGTTGCTAAAAATAATCATCGATTGTGATACTGCGAGTGTAAACATCGATAATATAGTATTTACTACTGTATATAGTGAAGGTCGATGTAATTATTTGTGGAGTTGATTACAGAGAACTTTTAGAAAAATAAAAGTAATTCTCTATGTGGAAATCATAAAATGTTAACAGTTTTGCGTCAAATTACAAAGTTTTTTTCTAGCTCTATAATTGGTAGTATTTAATTATTTTTTTCTCTATGCTTTGAAATTTTTTATTACATAGTGCTACGTTTTCTATTGCATAAAATACAATTTTAAACAGAAGCGTTAAGATAACGTTCGATTATCCTTATAATTTTATTGATCATGTTTATAAGGAACATAATTAACAAAAAACAACATAAAATTATATTATTTTATGTATAGGATAGCGATGTCAGTTTTATATTTTATACGGTCTCAAAAGTCATTAATCGCCATAGTAAGATAGAATAATTTGAGTGGCGTTAAGTCTCTTGACAGCATTATATTACAATAATAATAATTATAATAACTGCACACACGCATATGTACATACGTAAATACGTACAATATACTCTATTTCATTGCTTTTAATGAATATTAACTAGTTACCTAATGTATGTTTACGTGAATATACGTAGTAACAAAATCACCAATCTGAGCATATGTATATTATAATTTATACATATTTATAAATGTATACGTTCATTAATTAATCGCAAAGGAAATGTATACAACCTATTTTGATTAAAATACAACATTCGAAATTTTCCCGCTCGATTATCGTGCAATAATTTTAACATCAATAGTAATGTAATTGTTAACAGTTATACGTATTATATTACACCTAGACTATACATTTTTTTTTTTTATTTTCATGTTGAAAATTAATAACAGTGATAATTTATCTAAATATGCACACATTAATTGTCATTTTTTATCCTACCACTGTTATTGAACAAACTTAATCACTATTATTACACAGTATAATAACATTCTAGAAGTATAAATAAATTTCGTAAGTTCAAACAAAATTGATATAAACGCATACTGAGAATATACAATTTTAAAGATTAAATTAGGTTAACATATTAAAGTAAACTGTAGGCAATAATAAAAATGATTGGAACTATAAAAGTATTTTGGTTGTTTATAAAAACGTACGGTACACGATTTTTTTGAAGCTAAAAGTAATAGAAAATAAATAAAAATCCTAGTGTGTGTGTGAATAATATTTATTTAAATTTTTTTTTAATTTGATAACGGCGTGTTTAGCTGTACCTTCTGCAAAGTAAAAATAATACAAGGAATACTATTTTATTACTATCACATCATACAGTAAATTTATTCAAATGTGAATTATAAATACGTGCTTTAATTATTCTGTCTCTTTTATTGTCAACATCAAAAAGTCTTATTCTTTTTCCCACGTTAATAAATTGGTGCTCCACGGCAGGAGATTAATTCTACGCAAATTAATATACATTAAAAACCTAGAAAACTAGTTGCGAGTATAATTAGTAAGTTCCTACACACTCGGTTAGTAACTAATTCCACGTCAGTAACCCGTTTGGATCTCGATAGCAAAAAATAATATTACTAAGTCGATGAATCATTAAAAATTATTCAATCCAATATAGAACACTTTGTCGCATTCATATCAAAAACGTGAGATAACTATGAGAGTACAATTAATAGAGTAAACGAATCTTGATTGTCATTTGTCATCATGTAAGTTAATTTATAGCTCACTTGTTAATAGAAAAAAAAACATCTTTTGATTCTAAAGGAGTGTTATACAGTTAAGGAGATCACTCCCGAGAGAACGAAAATGTGTATTATATATATGATTTTTTTTTTCTATACCTGATGAATTTTCGCGCACCCTTTGTTACGGTTTGAACAGTCAGTGATGATGGTAAAATAATCAGACATGCGTCGAACGGAGAGGGCGTAAAAAATTTCTTTAACACCAGAGGACATTGTTCTAAATAACGCTTTGTTGTAATAGTTTAGAAAAAAAAAAACACTACTTCCTTTTATTTTTACATTCAATTTTTCATCAAGGATCCGAATTTTTTTCCCGTGTACACACAATTACGAATAGTAATTATATGGTAGTGTTACGTAAAATGTGGGTCAAAATGATCAAAAAAAGGTAGAGAAAGAAATAAATAAAGGGACAATAATAAAGATAATGGATTCACGAAAGGGTAATAAAGTTCGTTTTTTTTCTTTTGCGCTTTCTTTTCCTTCTTGCTTAATTCTGACATCCAATTAAGACGTTTGGATCGACGACTCTACCAACACTTTTGGTTGCTTTCGGCGATATAAGCCACCGGTATTTTAGAAATATATATTGGTCGAGTTTTAATTAACCACCGACAAAAGATGTAAAGAAATTCGCGAACGAAAAATCTTTTGTGCTTTATTTTTAAAACTGTTCGTGAATAGGTATACTCACATCTGAGGTCCAACATGACGGATGCTTGTCGCGGATCCATGAGCTTGGTATTGGCAGCCTGACATGTGAATACCGAGTTGAAATCGTTACGGCTGACAGCCGGCCAATGCAACCTGTTTTCGATCACGTCACCATCATTGTGTTCACACTTTTCGTCAACTACTTTATCATTCTTGAGCCACAATACCCGTGGTGGAGGATTTCCTAAAAGAGGAAAAGTAAATATGAAAAATAATTTTTCAAACGAATCAATTATGAGAAAATATTAACAATATATTTCATATTCTTGCATTATCTGTACAAAATATTTAATAATCAGTAATTCAATTGAAAAATAATTATTATTATTATTATTAAAAATCGGACTTATACATCATGATTAATGACCCTAATTGAAAACGAATAGTATATCGTGTACTATGTGGATAGGTCTGATGTGTGAAAATTTGTAAATGTGCATTTATGGATATTTCTGAACTCAGATGCTCTATAGCATATCTAATTCAGATTGAGCACGTAAAGAGTAAAATCGTTCTATTTAATATAATATTGAAGATTGATATCTACGGTTAAGATTTCATACTTAATGCAAAAATAGTACAATGATAAATATGTTATACATTTTAACTAGAAATACTTATTCATAAGACCTTTTAAAAACGAATAATGGTTTATGATTCATTAAATAATACGTATTTTCAAAACTAAAAAAAAAAGGTAAAGTAAACAAAATGAACAATACAATTGTTGTGATTCGAATTTATTATTGTTGTATTATTCTAAATACTTATTTAAAATCTAGATTAAATGAGTTTCTTTATGAACATCGAAAATCCATCATGCATTTTTTAATGAATGTTTATAACAAATAATTTGTAGATTCGAAGAAAAGTATAATACACCTTTTATTGTTCTTTGTCTTTTTACCTATTTTTTTTAATCATTAAAGTTCTTGTAATTTTCAAATATATTTAAAAACAATGGCGTTATTGATATAGAACTATTTGACGGAGGTACTCATTTTCATGCTAAGTAGCGCTACGAGTATGATATAAAATTATTTGTATAACTATAATAAATAGTTGAATGAATAAACCACAACAACCACCAAGGTATTTAATTTAAAAGTTACAATTAATTAAAGTTTTTGTAAATGACTGCGTATAAAATATTTAAAATAAAAAATATAATTGTATCTATTTGTAATCAAAGATATATGGTATGAACAGTAAAAAAAAAATCTGTTGTCGTTTGATAGTACATAATCACAAGAAAGATTAAAACTTTTCTAATTGAATTATTTTGTTTTGAATTTAATTAAAATCATATTTAAAAATACTTGATTTTATGTTTCATCTCTTTTATTAGTCCAAATATATTGTATGCATTAAATTATTTTAATAAAATGATACATAATATAAATAACTAAAAACAAAAAAAAGGTTACATTTTTATTAAATATAATAAATATGACAAAACTACATAATATACCAAATATTTCTTGCCAATATCTAACTAAATGCATTTTTAAGTCTATATTTTAAAATTGATATCTGCTCAAAGCTTTCGATAACCATTCGAAGTCTATGTATTTCGTTTTTTTCCAGTGATTAATCTACCCACGGACATGAATCTAAACTACCCTTTCTTTATTTTTAAATACTCCAGATAATTCTTCCTACCAAAGCTTAAGATACATTTTATGATAATATTTGTATGTGCAAATGTTACTCTATGTACCCAGTTATATAATATTATTGCATTCTTAACATTTTTACCATTCTCTTGAATAATATATTTTTTTTAAATGTTAATATATCATGTAGCATAACTAATATTCAAGTAAATAAATGTATTATTTAATGAATTTATACATTTAAGAACGTTTATTAACTATAATTATAAATGTCTAATTGTAGAGAATGGGGAACTGAGAAGTTCGAAACTTCCCATACGAGTAGCATGCTTGTTGTTAAATATTAGATTTAAAAATATTTTTTAAACAATATTAAACATTTTTTGCTTCATAATAATAATGGAGAAAAATACATAATAATATATAAAAAGAAATAAAAAAAAAAAAAAAAAAGAAACCATAAAACCAATACGAATAATATTATTACGGCACTTATATATAGGCAATATCGGTACACCGACGTCGATAATACAAAATGACCATTTTTTTCATCGTAACAGTGATAATTTATTATTTATTTTATTATTGTATCATTATTGTATAAATAATATATTATTTACAAAAACAACAATACTTTCATTGATAATCTTTAAATTACATATAATTAATCGTTAACAAACCAAATGCCATAGCTATAGTTAATGTTAATAATAAACTATTATACTAATTAAATAAATATAAATAATATATAAATCTAACTTGAATAAGATTAACCACTGAACGATCTGAGAATGGGATGAAATTAATGAAATGGCTATTGAATCGGCAGATATTTAGTTCGGTATTTGGTAGAATATTGGAAAAGTGAAGTAAACCTTTTTTTTTCTAATGGTGAAGATTACGGTACCATGTGTCTCAGCTGTTGCCACCGATTATGTTTCGACAGGGTAGATAAATCGGTGAATAATAACGACAAAAGTATAAAGTAAGAGTGAGATAGTTGAAGGCAGGTAACAGAAAATGAAAAGAGAAGCCAATGAAGTTCAATCTCGAATAGACCCTAGAAATTGGATATTTAGCTTGGACCTCCTGCTCTTTATAAATTAAGAGCAATTTATTCGGACAGGTGATATAAACATTTTTTTTTTCTTAATCTGCTCCGCTCCACCGGACAATTTTTATCGCCATAAAATCTTTCGACACATTTTTTCACCGTATAAAATGAAAGATAAATGGTTCAACGTATAATACTCTTCGGTGATGCAAAGCGAAAAAGAAATCAGAATTTAAAACCTTTTGTTTTAATATTATTATTATTATTATTATTTTCATATTTTTTTTAACACATTATAATCACGGTTAGCAGTTTAACAACTACTTACCTAACTACAGTGACTGTTTTTCATCACTGATATTGGGTTTATTGCGTGCGCGTGTATAGTAACAATTTCGACGGTCTGTCATAACTAAACGGAAATATGGATTCGCAGGGTTTGTATTAAAATAAAAATAATAATAATAATAATGATTATTATTACTATTATTATTGTTGTTATTATACCGTGCCTGAAATAATCACAGGGGTGTTCCGCACGCAGAGCTGTATACCCGAGCTGATAATTTAATTTTGTTCTGTCAAAACTTCGGGCATTTTAATAAGTGCACGGTGGAAAGAGATATTAGTACGATTAGCGAGCTTTTGTTGTTGAGATAACATTTTGATTAACCGACGTCCATCACAAGAGTGCATTGCATACGAGATTTCGAAAGGAAGGGTCGACACGGTTCGGGAACACATCGTGTTACGGTCGGAGATTGTTAATTTGCAGTAGACTCCGATCGCAGACATTATAGGGATCGTATGCACGGAAATGCTTAAGGTCATAGTGCGGCACGTGGACTCACACGTACCGCCGAGGCGAGACGGAGAACTGCGGGGAAGGAATTACAACCGATCAGTGGTCGGTTGGCGGATACGTGGTACACGTAAAGGTCAAAAGTCGACACCACGTTAAAACTGCGGTATGAAGTATGAAACAGGAGCAAGGACGTGAGGAACGATGGCTTTATCAATCTGGAGAGCATCACGAGTGCTTAAATTATACAATGCTGACCCAAGTATTTGGACGTTGATGATGGAACAACAACTCGATCGAGATGTAAAGTTGCTGCCGAAACGGTGTACCATAATTGTCACCGGAACTGCAACTGATTTTCGTGAAAACAAACACACAAACACGATATACGATAAAATTATAATCGAAAAGATTTATTTTTATTTTTCTCTCTTCTAATAATATACTAATAATATATTCTCACCGTGTTGACGATAATTTTGTTTATACATCAACGGTTGGTATAGTATTATTTTTATTTTTTTTTTCAGCAATTTGCAAAATTTATCGTTGAGAAATCTAAAACAATTTATCAATGCGATGAAATAATCGAAAATTTGATTAAAAATCAAATGTTGGTTTCGTTTGGTTTGCATACAAAACGTAAATGATTAACATTTAATAAAACGTTTTTAGATAATACTAAACGCAATAAAAACAAAAACTTTTTTAAATTTTCTGTATGTTCACCAATTAAAATATATGTTTTAAGAGTAAATCAAAAAATGTGAAAAAACATTTATGTTTTAATTAGAAATATTTCTACATTAATAATTGCTACATTTTTGATAGCAAAAAGCGTTTATATTATTAAATCTTAAAAAAAAAAATCAATATGAGAATATTGAAGTATGTTCGTTAAATTAATAATTTTATACTATGAAATAATACACAAGTAGAATGATGTATAAATAAATAACGAAGAGAAAAAAATTAATATCAGTAAAAAGGACTATAAAATACACTGTATTTTTGATAAAATAAAGTAATAAATAAATTATGATTGAAATAAAATGGAAAAAACAACATGAAGGAAGTTATTGTAAAACAATATAAGCTTGTAAAAAAGGGTTCGAAATTAAATGTTAATAGTAATCAAAAATCGATTACCTAAATTAAACGAAAAAAATAAACATCTTATCAAAATATGTTTACCAGCATACGGTATTGAGCTTGATAGCTTAATAATGATCGTTTCTGAGCGTACTGCATGTAATTACATGCAATACATTACAATTGTAAGGCAATTTTTTTTTTTTTTTTTTTAATCGCTTTTATCATATATTTCTAATTAACTATGGGTCTTAAAAAAATATACAAAAAGAATATTATTTATTCAATACACGAAAAATTTTGTGATCGGAATTAAAAGTTCAGAAATATGTTCCAATGATTTATAATAGTCAACATCTTTAATACAATTTTGTATAAAATGTTAAATTTCACTATCCGCACGTTAAGGGAAGTAATATAATTGAAATCAGAATTATAGTTATTCGTTAATAAAAAACGTATTGAAGGAAACCGATTCAACCTAAAATTTGTGATATTAAATAAACAAATAATTGTGCAATTAACTCATTTGTTACGACAGTAATAAATAATAATTCTATTAAATATAATACACTCTACTATAAAAATATATTTAATAAGTACTATTTACAAAGCTAATA